GTCACTCGGTCATTCTTAGGTAAATCAGCAAATCTCTTGAATTTCACGACCAAAACATTAGCTGTTCATGACTGGAAAAAAAGAAACAAGAGAAACAGAATGCAAAACAAAATTCTGTAACCAGTCAAGCTTCACCCCAGCCAACAAGCTTATAGCTCACTATCAGGAGTTGCTTTCACTTGACTAGGGCATGTTCATGAGCCAGTGCTAGCTGTACTGCAAAAAAATTGTCCATCTTGCGATAGGCGGGGCTAACGGTGCGCACCCTATTGACACACGCCTGCCTAATCGCGCGCTATCGTTCATAAAGTCCGCCACCCGCGCGCACCTGCTCATACTGATATCGCAAACGGGAAGAAAACCATGCGCCAAAAAAGTGAAACTTTTTCTTCTGAGAATCTTCAAAAACTTACAACTCCCTTCAAGTTTTGTTCGTATGGATGGCAATCAGCTTATTTTGTAGCCGCAGGTCATGAGTTTACCTGTGTATAGAAAAGACGGTACTTTTCCGTTATCCGGCATTTTCTCAATGGTCGCTCATAACATACGTTCGTTGGTCTAAGAATAATTTTTTGTAGATTCTACAAAGACTGCCTCCCTGCCACGTGCCAGGAAAAATTTGACACGTTTTAGTCCATTTTGATTTGTTTTTTTTCAATCATTTCCGGCAAGGTAAAAAAGCGTTTGTGACCACCTAGAAGCCTTTCAACTATTTTCTAGAAAAGCAAAACTGTCTAGAACTTATCGAACATCTTAACTGCTTTCAGCATCAATTCAAACTTGTCTTCCCTTTCAAACTTTCCGCCTTGCGAATTCAGTCAGGAAAGACTATAAATGATGGCCTGACGGATTTCGCTGTTGCTTATTTCGCCGCTCGGATGACGGAATTCTAGCACACTTCTCCATTCTGGGCAAATCTAATCTGTTCAATATAACAGGATGACGTTATTATTATAACAGTAGCATTTCTGAGATCCTTTATTTAAAAATGGGGTCATTATTGACTTAAATACAGATTGAATTTACGTCGTTAGGGTAGTACAAAACAAAACCTTGGTAAAACCTGTTAAGCATGTAGATGACATGCCAAATTTTTTTGACACGTGGCAGAATTGGCACTCTTTCCTATGAATTTGGGACCAGATATGGTACAAGAAAAAAAGCAATATCTTTCTTTGAAAAATGGGTTCGGATAACGGAAAAGTACCGAAAAGACTCCAAAGAAGGACTTCTGCGAAAAGAAAAAATAAAAAATTCAAAAATGTTCACTTTTTGAGCCTATTTGTTATAGGCTTGTGAATGTTAAATTATGAAAATTTGAAATTCTCCGTGCACTGAATAGCGAAGTTTCTCTTCAGATATTATAGTTAAGGTGCGCTTATCTCAAGCTTACAGAAATGGGGAAGCTTTGGCGATTGACTCAATTATGAGAAATTTCTGAGCCACAAAATGTCAGCAGCGAGTATCTATTTGGAGGCGTCAATTTCTCAGTCCAGATATCTCCAAAAGTCTACGTAAGCATGCAGTAGGTAAAAAATCTCCATCTAATACAATTGCTATGTTTTCAGAAGATTTCCTTTATTCGCTCCTGAATTGTGGTCAAGAAACTGAAAGCTATGAGATTTCGATTTTGAGTGCCGATGTGCAAAATGTTGGTGAAAGTCTCACAGGTGAGGATAGCGTGATTCCACACCATTAGAAAGTACATGATAAAAGCTTTCTAATGACATGTAGACCTATATTGAGAAAGTTTGATGGAAAAAGTTGTTTGGAATATAGGCCTAGAAAAACGGACATTATTTTTGCAACAACCTAATATAATCGTTCGCAGATTGACAGATAAGAGCTCGCACAGCACTCGTTGAAATAAGCCTACCCAGAGTTTTTTACAAAGCCGAAAGCATGACTACTGCTAGCCAACGTATATGCCTACAAGTGACTGGAAGAGAACTCAAAACTTCAAAAACTAGTTGTCGATCACTGCAGATGTTAACTTGCGCCGGTAGAAAGACGTTGGTAAATAGTGGAATGTGTGTGAATCCATTTTCTCGTTTTTGTAATGTTCCCTTAAAGCATATGGCGCCACATTCTGTTCGAATTTTTTCGAATAAATGCACTTCAGACAATTTAGCGCAAGTTTTCCAAAAGCGCGTACAATGCGGTGCGGTGAACGTCTACAAATCGCTTTGGGTACGTCCAAAAATCAAGCGATGAGCGATTTTCAGCAGTCAACAGTTGCCCAGGCATTAGTCGCAGCGATCAAAAGTCGTAAAGCTGAATGTATCTATGCCTTAGGCCTTGCAACCATTTGTTACGCACAAATTACCGGCGACATTTCGGCATTCATAAGCAAGACTTCTGCGCAAATGCTGCTTTCAATGCAAGAACGCATTTACTTTCAGGCCCGATATGCCTCACATTATCGACTGAAATTGGTTTAGAAGACTTAGTATTTTTTTACTTCATTGTTTGCCTACTACGTGTGGAAGTCGAACCAAAATCTCATCGATTTGTCGTCAATTCCCAGATTCTCGCGCAATCGCATTTGAGATTTACAGCGCTTGCAAGCAATCCAAAAAACGACATCACTGAGAAAGCTGCACTCAGGTCCCGGCACAGATCGTCTGGAAGCAGGCTGGACTTCGTTTTTGAAGTAAACAGCAAAGGAGCTATCGTTTTTGACGAGTCGGAACCGAGCACCAAGAAAGCGCCATTTAGTCGAACACCAAGCTTTTTGGTATCACACGATTGACATGCTCTATCGTGTATTGCGAAAAGTGCGCGCGATTTGGAAGCAAGGCTAAAATAAACAAATTGCTTGTTTACGCGCACACAAAAGCATATGACACCAAAATTGAACTGTGTGTATAGAAAATTATTTGCGAAAGTACTATGTAAAAAGATTTGAAAACTTATGTGAAGTAATACCTTTTCCAAAATTCGATCGTCTCCAGACGGCCACCAGACGATCTAAGATCACCAGGCGCATAAGTTTCGGATCTTTTTAGGACGGACGGATTCCCCGGTCAAAAATCTATCCCTGAGCATGAAGACATTTTCATATCATTGCCTTTCCTTTATTTTTCATTTCTTCTCGCTCTGTTAAATATCGCGCTCTAATGCCAAAGTCTTGTGCATGCGTAGTATTCAGCTCCAATTTGGACTTTCATATCCTACGTCTTTTCTTTCAGACTAGTAAATCATTCTTGTTTTCATCTTCTCCTAAGCACGTAGGTCAAAGAAGACTTCGTAAAACTTCCGAAAGTCAGGGGAGACTTCGTTTTCAGAAACCCTAGAAACCGGCTCGTGCCGGGCCCTGACTACGGATAGTGTTCACCACGTAATGACTTAAAGGCAGCGGCTCGGCAGATTTTCAACTTTGGGGTTCTGGCAGATTTGGGGCTATTCCGGCCGCCTGAATCACGACATGAACTCCCCTTAGCGCGAAAATGGGGAAAACCTCGTTTTTTGAAACCCCTTTAAGACGGGCGTGGACGAGTGAGCCGTTTTTCTCTGCCGTCAGAGACGCAGAGTAAGGAGGTAAAGAGGTTAGAACAATTCTGCCCCACGAAGCTACGAGTGACGGCGCGTTTTCTAGCGGCGAACATACTCGTCCGCACAAGGTGTTGGGGGAGCGAAAGGAGGAAGGGGAGCGGAGCTTGGCTCGCTCCCTGGCTTGCAGAATTCACATTTTCGGCCCGGAGTTGCTCTTTTGGTTCACTTGAAGGGCCTCCTATCCATCTAGTCAAATTCTGAGGTAGGTCTATTCTGCCGAGCCGCTGCCTTTGAGGCTATATAGGCTATAGGCTATACATGTAAACTCAAATGGAATTATGTATTGAAGAAAGGAAAACAGTTGTTTTGTCTTCGTAATTTCGTTAGTGTGAATGGGATGAAGAAGTTATTCTTCCGACAAGATTTCTCATGAAATGTTCATTGAACCAAGCTGATCGCATCTTATCGTTAGCTGAACCAATCTGGAGGATTCTACTTTGAAGAGCTTTTTCCATTTTTGCGGAGAAGTTTCGAGACAATCTCACCCGAAAGAGTTAACAAGTGTATGAATTAAAATGGAAAATGGTGAATTTGCGTTGGATGATTCTACTAATGACAGAAAAAGTTGTGCAAATTATCGTCGTCTCGTTGAAAATGTATACATCTTATAAAACATTTTTCGTTTTTCACCTTCATGTTTTTGTTATTCTTCGCTTCACTCCCCTCCCATTTTCTTGGCGTTCCAATCTCCAATCGCTCCTGTTCTTCTTACCTGATCCTTTACTTCCACGTCGGCAACCAACTACCGACAGCGATTGTTTGAGTGGAATGGCTCAGTGCATGTGAGCGCGCTTAGCCGCGGTGCGAAAGAGAACGTCGCTGGGTTCGGTTCCTGAGCGAGGATGTGATATCAGTAGCCAATCCTTTACGGAAATATAGTGTCGACACAATGATAGGACTGAGCTCAGAATTCGTACGTTTTGAAAGCTAAAGCAATAGCTGTGGGAATGTTTATTGAATCATGAGTTCAAAAATACATAAAATATTAGAGAAAATGCACTGAAATTGAATTTTTGTCACTATACTCATCAGAAAATGCAGAAAGAAGAGATTTTCAAACATAAAAAAAGAAGAGATTGGACTCAGCTGTTGAGGATGATTGATACATAGAACATTCTAAACCACGAAAATGATCCATTCAACAAATCAACAGTTCCAGATTACAATAACAATAATTTTCCTAAAACAACGAAAGAGACTACGAAAACATTAAGTGCTGCGCTGACTCGAGTTGTTGGTTGCAAAGGGACTGTAATAGTTTTTGGTGTAGTTGTCGTTGTTGTGGTAGATTCAACCCCTTCAGTTCCTGGAAATTTTTTTACTGCTTCTCTTTCTAATTTGATTTACACAATGATAAAGACTACGAAACCATTTGATGCTGCGCTGACTTGAGTAGTTGGTTGCAAAGGCACTGTAATAGTTTTTGGTGTAGTTGTCGTTGTTGTGGTAGATTCAAACCCTTCAGTTCCTGGAAAATTTTTTTAGTGCTTCTCTTTCTAATTTGATTTACACAATGATAAAGACTACGAAACCATTTGATGCTGCGCTGACTTGAGTAGTTGGTTGCAAAGGCATTTCAGTAGTATTAGGTGTGGATATCGTTGTTGTGGTAGATTCAAATCCTTCAGTTCCTGGAAAATTTCTAGTGCTTCTCTTTTTAATTTGATTTACACAATGAAAAAGACTACGAAACCAGTTGACGCGGCGTTGACTCGAGTTGTTGGTTGCAAAGGGACTGTAATAGTTTCCGGTGCAGTTGTCGTTGTTGTGGTAGATTCAAACCCTCCAATTCCTGAAAAATTTTTCAGTGCCTGTCTTTCAATTTTTATTTATTTTTAAAAATCACCTTTTTCGCAAAATAGTCATAATATCCTATAGCGCAGAGACAAACTGTCATAGATCTCGTAGTTTTTGTGAGTAAAAAGTCAAATCCAAGATTGGTGTAAAATTAATCGTAACGTTTTTCCAGGGCTTAACTGATAATCGAGGCACTCGGTGCAATAAGTATCTTGATTCAAATATACCAACTTGCTGCTGCCACATTTGAACGTTAGGAAAAAGATAACGACTGATTTCATACTAATCCCGCAGTCAGATTTTTACTTACAAAAAACTTTATAACTCCTCGCTCAGAAGCGCGCAGCAGATATCGAAGGTAAATTTGGAATCAGCGTTTCAAGCCCTACAAGATGGTTTACATCCCATCTTGAAAGGCCACTTTGACCAACCTTCGCGCATACCTAGCTCTGTTTTTTTTGTATTGCCAACGTTGGGAGTACGCCACTTCAGCTCCTTGTCGGAACTAATGCTCGAATAAGACTATAACGAAATTTTGATAACGTTCGGGATGACCACATTTTTCTTAAATAGTATAATCCTGCCTTTTATTAGTTTTTAATGAATCCAAAATTTTCGAGTCTAAAAATAACTTCATCTACCACTTTCATACCTGTAATATGACTAATTAGTATGCGTTTGATTGCTTTTTATTTTTCAAATTTTTTATTGAAATATTTCTAAAGTATAAACAAATGTATAAGGACTACGCATAAACGATAATGAATACTCTAATCGAAGGTTTTTTTTTCTAAAATCGAAAAGCACGCTAGGCGGTTCGCTTGGAAAACCGAAAAAGATGGTCTTGTACCCGTGAAATTAGCGTAATTGCTGTGCATGACGATGACTTAACAGGTTCTGAAGCTTGAGAAATAACGCTACTTCGAATTGAAAACATATTCTTCGCAACTCACTTTTCCCTACATATTCCTTACCTCCAGATATTGTGGTAATGGATAATAGTACTATAGAGAATAATATCATTTTCCGGAATAGCTTGACCAATGCCAAACCTAAATTGAACATTGGAACCAAAATGGGATACTAAGCATAGTAGAAAAGAATTCAGAAAGAATTCACAGAGAGAAAACCTCAACAAATGGATTGTCGTATTTTTACAAGCTGCAGTTCCGTAAATCGATGTGCTGAAAGTATGATTACTAAACATCCATGCCGAGGATTTTTGTTTGAAATTTCAAAAAGTTTCTACGAGAACGAATTTGCAGGCAAAGATCAAGAAAGGCATAGCACCGAAACTTGTCGCTGTTTGCATTGTGTCTATAAAGCTCTTTCAAGTGGTAATAAAAAATTCTTATCTCCAGCACTTTGAATGCAATTATTGTTGCAATCTCAGCGTGACATCAGTAGGCTAGACTTTCTTTATCACCATCGAAATCTACAGGGTTGTGGGAAAGTCTTTGAACACGGTGTTTTTAACGTAATGATGAAGTTAGGCAAGATGATTATATAAATTCAATAGGTAATGTTTACTCAACTGTCTGCTACACAAAACTGGCTTTACAATTCGAAGATTCCTCCTTTGACGTGAGCACAAGCTCGGAAACGCTAGAGAACGCTGTCCATGGTGGCACGGAGGTGCTTCACGTCGATTTCTTACAACGCCTTCTAATGAGCAAGTCGCAGGGACTCCACTGTCTTGCATAGGTGAGCGCAGACTTTGGCCTAAAGAACTGACCACACGCTGTAGTCGAGGGTATTCAGATCCGGCCAACACGGAGGCCATTCCGCAGGAGTAATGAACTCTCTGATGTTGTTTTGGAGCATGCTTGAACAATCTTTGCTTTGTGCGCAGTGCGCTATCCTGCTGGGGACACCAATCGCTCCTAGCAAAATGGGTATTGGTCCAGACCAATAATCCCTTCTTCAGGATGCTATCCATGTGCGTAGCGGTGTCCACTTCGATGTCCTGGGACACAAAAATCGCCAGCGCCTTGCTGTCGGAAGCGATCGCCGCGCAAACCATCACAGAAAGCGGATGAAGCTTTCCTTCTGCGAGTCAACCCTTGCTATTGACTTCTGGGAGCGATTAGGTGTTAATTCTGTTGTTTAGCGATCAAAAACTTTTTTCACGGTGAAAATTCTGACGTCAGAAAAGAGTATCGTTTGGTGGCGTGCCTTGGAGAGACGTCCAAGTAGTCGATGGCATCTGCGCAGTCAGTTCAGCTTCGCGTCCTCCCAAAAAGCATGAAATTTTAGCATCCTGGAAAGGTTCATCGCAAGGCACTCTTTTGCGATGCCGGAGATTGTCCTGCCAGAGATGCACAGGTCTGAAGCCAGCTCAATCAAGGTTCGCCGAGGATTGCGACGAAGGCGTTGGCTAACGATTCTCAGAATCACGCTATTGTCCGCAGTAGCTAATTTACCACTCATACAACAGTCCTGGGTGCTGTTCATATCCTGGAAACGACGCAAGGTGGAAAAGACCATGACATGTCAAATTTGAGGAGAACGCGCAATTTGCTAGTCAGCCATCTTCTCCTCGTGCATCTTCTCCACCAACGCTCGCTCCATTTCAGAAGGCATATCTCCGATAGGAAAAAAAGCTAATAGTCCAGTTCTTTGAGGGCATGTACTCAAGAGTGTAAGAAGCAAACACATATAATTAATATACGAAAATTTGTGGAAAAGCCGAACATATAAGGACATCAAAAATTGTTCGAGGACTTTCCCCCAACCCTGTATTTCTCAGCTGTATGATAAAGGTCCCTTTAGAAAAAAAATTGTGGTGAAATTCGAAGTTCGTCAAAATTCGTGTCGCATCACCATATCGTCCGTTCTTCTCAACTGGACTATTAGCTTTTTTTCCTATCATAATGAGAAGAACCGACGATAGATGGACACTAAGAACATCTGAGTGGATTCCTCGCGAAGCCAAACGTCCTCGAGGAAGACCACCGACGAGATGGGCAGACGTGTTCGTGGAACGGATGGACCAGCTGAGAAATCAGCTGGATACGATTCTCGCCCCTGGAACTCGTGCACGCAGCCACCGACGACGATCAAGAAGATCGTGGATGTCCGAAGCGAGGGACAGGGATCAATGGCACCTTCTGTACTGGGGCCCGCACGTCACGCGAGGACGGGCCATCTAAGTATCTAAGTAAGTAAGTATCACCATATCTCGATCTGGAAAGGACAAGTTTCAGATCAAAGGGCATCATAAAACGCTCGGCGAGGCTCAGCTGCTGATATATAGAAGTTTTATATTGTGTCGGGTTTAGTTACGTATACGGAAGTAGTTGACGGTGGCTCAGGAAACCTGCGAGCTTTCCATCCCTTCTTGGCGTTCTAGATGCACTGAGTCCAAATGCTTGAAAAGTTGAAAAGTCCTTCTTACGGTGTTTTCTGGCCTTAGAGAATGCTGGAGGGGCTAAACGAACGTTTTCCGCCAACCAGGCGCGATTGGCTGCCTGAGCTAATCAACCAATTGTCGCCAAAATGGGTGAAGTTGCAGTCGCCGCTACCAGTGACTGTTCTGGTGGGAATCTCTCCACCAGCCTCATCAGCAATCTCCAAGGCCGTTAAACGCCATAAAAGCACACTTGACTTCTAAAGCATCTCAGACAGTCGAAGAGATACCTCCGGCGAGCAAATGGCGCGAGTCTGTCACTTCGCGCTCTGGAGCGCTCCGGAGCCCTGCCATTTCACGCATTCTGGTGCTCCGGGGCTCTCCCAAGAGTGGCGCAGCTCCGCAGCAGAGATTTGCTCGTCCCGGAGAGGGGTCTCTTGTGCTTGTGACGTCACCGTGACGTCACGGTGGCGTCACAAGCACATTAACACTCACAAGCACTTTAACATTTGAAATGTCAAACAAGTGCTTTTTACGGCGTTTTCATACCGTGGAGATAGCTGGAGGGAATGGGCGAGGAGATTCCCGCCATCATCACAATTGGCTGCCTGAGCCGATCAGCCAATTACCGCCAAAATGGGTGGAGTTACAGTCTCCTGCAGCCAGTCGCGGTGTATGGCGGGAGTTCCTCGCTCATACCCTCCAGCCATCTCCGTAGTAGGAAAACGCCGTAAAAAGCACTTACTAGACTTTCTAACACAGCACTGGACTCAGCGCATCTAAAAGGCCATTTAGATGTGGAAAGCTTGCAGTCGCAGTTTTCTTGGGCAATTGCCTTTGAATGGACTGGCAGAATAACCGTCGACGTCATCGCAGTGGCAACGCGGAACTGAAATCATCATCGTGATATTTCTAGCGAGTATACATAAAGAATTAAAAATTTAATGCACAGTTTTACTCGAGAATCTTAGCAATAGTTTGCCTTTTAAAGACATTCATAGACATCCTTTAAGAAGTTTTCGCATGTTTTACATGCGAAGGCCATCAAATGCGATTATTGATTCAAAAAAGGAATATGCTGTTCCGTCTTAGTGATTTCGTTGATTTGAATGGTATGAAAACGTTATTCATCCGAGGGTTGTACCAAAACTGATCGCATGTTAGCTGAACCAATCTGGAATGCTTTTCCCATTTTTGCGCAGAACTTTTGAGACAATCCCACCCGAAAGAGTTAACAAATGTATGAATTTGGATGGATAATGGTGCATCCAAGGATGAGTGTGCTAATGACAGAAAAAGTTGTGCAAATCATCGTCGACTTGCCGACAATGTGTGCAACACATTCTATTAACATTTTTCATGTTAATAGAATGTGTTTTTGCTACTCTCCACTCCTCTCACTTTCTTGGCGTTTCAGATTTCAATCACGCTGTTCTAACTGATTCTCTACTTCTACATCCACAGCCAACTACCAACGAATATTGTTTGAGTGGAGATGGCTCAGTGCCTGTGAGCGAGCTCGGCCGCGGTGCGACAGAAACAAGGCTCGGCATAGGTGGCTTTAGGGGCAAGCTGGATATCGTTTCGGGGTAAAAACAATGGAGATATCGTTTACGGAAACCACAGCCCCGTCCCTCACCCTTCATCTTGCATAAAGGACGCAGATTGTCATTCCTGCCTTATGGAACTCCATTCCTTCAAAAACCAAAAAATCCTTGTTCCAACAGGTTCGCTGTTGAGCGCGCGAATTCAAGAACCTGCCCCGAAATAGACAAAAGTCTTGTTTACAGCGAAGAGAAAATGAATGGCACCAAAATTGGTGTGTAGATGGGCAATAAGGAGTTAGGACTATGTACAAAAAAATTATGAGAAAATTATGTGAACTGAGGGCGTGGCTAACTTTTTTCGGAGTTAGGTGGCTTTCCAGCCACCTGGACAGCCACCTGAGGTAGCTGTAAAAAGAAAAGTCGTAAATTTCCCTTCCTTCATAACTTTTTCACATGTTTGACATATCTTTGTTCTACATCAAAAACCCTACAACTGAGTTTTTGAATCTCCCCAAATTCCCCCTTCCTCGCCTAGTTATAGCTCTCCAAATATTTTTTATGACGGCGGCAAGTCTGCTCCAAATGCTGTGGTGCGCGCCGGTCACAGCATGCCGTCAATCCGGAGAATGCAAACTTTTTTAGTCCTTTTTCGTCTCTTTGATGTTGTTATATGCATTGTTTCATTAAATTTTGCTATTCGTGTTTGATCCGTTTATAATCGCGCCATAGGTGATGTCGTATTTTTGTGGCGAGGCCTATGGGGACTTCGCTCCTAAATAAATGAAAAAGCCACCACATGCCGAGCCCTGGACAGAGATCGTCGCGGGGTCACTTCTTGAGCGAGATGTGATATTAGTAGCCAATCCCTTACGGAAGTATAGTGTCGACACAATGATAGGACTGAGCTCAGAATTTCTATGTTTTGAGAGCTGAAGCGATAACGGTGGGAATGTTTTTGGAATCATGAGTTCAAAAACACAAACTACAAGAGATAATGCAAGAAGAGCAATTTTTGTCACTATACTCATCAGAAAATGCAGAAAAAAAAGAGCACTATTCAAACACCAAAAAAGAAGGGAATGGACTCAGTTGTTGAGGATGATTGATACATAGAACATTCTAAACCACGAAAATGATCCATTTATGAAAACAAGAGTTACAAATTATAATATTAATTTTCCTAAAAGAACGAAAAAGACTACGAAAACATTTAGTGCTGCGCTGGATCCAGGAGTTGGTTGCAAAGGCACTGTAATAGTTTTTGGTGTAGTTGTCGTTGTTGTGGTAGATTCAAACCCTTCAGTTCCTGGAAAAATTTTTCAGTGCTTCTCTTTCTAATTTGATTTACACAACGAAAAAGACAACGAAACCATTTGATGCTGTGCTGACTTGAGTTGTTGGTTGCAAAGGGACTGTAGTTTCCGGTGTAGTTGTCGTTGTTGTGGTAGATTCAAACCCTTCAGTTCCTGGAAAAATTTTTTAGTGCTTCTCTTTCTAATTTGATTTATACAACGAAAAAGACTACGAAACCATTGGATGCTGCGCTGACTTGAGTAGTTGGTTGCAAAGGCACTGTAGTAGTATTCGGTGTAATAATCGTTGTTGTGGTAGCTTCAAACCCTCCAATTCCTGGAAGATTTCTAGTGCTTGTTCGAATTTGGTTATTTTCAGAAATCACTTTTTTCGCAAAATAGTCCATAATATCCTGTAGCGCAAAGACAAACTGTCATCGATCTCGTGGCACCATTTTGGCAAGGAGGTAGATCACAAAATTGACCCGAGTAACCATTAGCACAAACGCATTCTCCATATATGTTAGCCTCTCCTTGATTGCAGATATTATCTGAAATTTATTCTGAGTTTATAGACTCTCAGATCTTCAAAGTGACATGTTGTATAGAAAGCTACTTGCCGTACTTTTTTGATTCTTTGAGATGCCTTACGACCTAATCTCACAAAGAAAGGTTGCAATCTTCTGCGGTATTGCGGCAAATGCGCGCTGACATAGATAGTCCTAAGTTATAAAAAAAAGATTGTACTCGTAAAACATGTCATATGGAACTTGCTAGCTCTAGGGATTCGTGGGCACTCAATGACGAGTTTTGGAAGCGTAGTGTGAAAATCAAAACAATCGTCCCAAAATGTCAAAAAATATACTTTTACTTCACTGAAAATGTAGGTATCACGCGCATTTCATGAGCTGTGCCATAAGAAGCACGCTCGGAAAATAGAACTTAAAAAAACTCAACTTTCAAAAAACTAGAACTTCCAGAAAAAACTTTTATTCAATTCTTACATGTTCAAGTCCCAAGTATTTGGAAGAAGAAACACGCTCCGCTCTTAATCATGCATCCTTCTCCACCCAGAAATTATGGCAGCCAAGCTTTCTCGCTTACCCCATCACCCCGCAACGCTGACCAATCAGAGGCGCGCAGTAATTAGACTGTTAGGGCTAGCGGTGCAGAATTTCTCCCTAGAGCGCGATACGCTATACACTTGCGATAGCTTGCGATAGACAACGTGTTCATAACTTAATGTTGATTCACTCAAGTAACACGGGTCCTTCTTTTGGAACACAGGTCGAGATTTGGGTAACATACGGTAGCGGGAAAAAACTCACTAAACACCCAGCAATACTGTGACAAGATCCTTTATCAAGACCTACTATCAAATTGCGCTAGTGGTGGAGAAAATGTATTTGTCTTGTTAAATTACACACTAAATATAGGAGTATCATTTTCTGTCTTTAAAAGTAGCGTCCACCAATTTTCGACTCCCATGTTTTATTGTTATCGGAATTTCCTACGGTCCTGGAATGATATCCACGAAAGTCCATAATGGAGGAAAATGAATTTCCAACCCCATTTTATTCGTTCGCGGTAGAAACTGGTCGGAATCTACTTTCCCTAGCGTTATCCAAAAATTTCTATCTCATCGCAACCACGAGGCAAAACGGTGTGATGAAAGTGATTCAACCCTACTCGAGCTCTCGCTAGCGAAAGAATCATGCGAAAAGTCCATTTAGAATGGGGAAAAATGGGATTTACCTCCATTTTGAATAAACTTGAATTACCATTTTACTCCCAGCAACAAGGTGAGCTGGGACTAAGCCCTTTACTGACCGTTTTGCACATTTTTGATGGTGTTTTGTTTGAGATTTTTGTTTGAGAATTTTTGTGCTCCTTAGCCCATTTTAAGGTAACAAGTGAGTGGAAAAAGTTTCATGTCTTTTATGAAGTCTGAAATAAGTGTTTCTTTCTAAATTCATATAAACGCTACAAAAATCATGGAAGAAGGTGAAATTCACCAAAATATTCGCTAACAAACTCAAATGCTTTCAAATATCAGGTCAATTCGAATATTCCTATGTAAATAAATAAGGTTTGTTAACTCTCCAAATCAGCAACTAAAACCAAATATGATTTGTATTTGAAAATAAGGAAGGTTTGTGTTTTGATACAATTACTAAGAAGCTATTTTTCAACTATTCTCGAACTACTCTCGTGGAATCGAATCTCACAGACGGCATTTCAAACGCGATTTTGAGATTGGTCGCAAGAATTACTGAAAGGTCGCCAGCTAGCAAGAGAAATTGTGAAAAATTTCTCCTAGGAACAGTCCATACATTCAACTACTTAGAAATACAAACATTAGCGCTGAGAGACAAAGAAGAGCTAAAGCAGAAAATTTGCGAAGTCATCTTCTGCAGATTTGTGGTTTCTCCGACTCAAAAAACGCTTTTGGTTGTAGTGTAGTAAAAGGTTTTCTATGAGATAAGCTGAATCACAGGTTGCAGTGCAAGTCTAGCCGATGTCTCTCTGCAAAAAGCTCTGAAATTTGATTTAATGCAAATTCATAGAAATCTTGAAAAGCGGAAGTTCGGATGTTGCATGTATTTTAGTTGAATGGAAGTATTTAGATGCATAGTCATCCTCTCCTATTATATCCTCTCCTATAATATAAACCCGATCCCAAAAAACGAGACGGCGAGGATGGCCCACATGTATGTTTCAACGGGTGTTTTGAATAGACGCCAGTTGCCGAACGGGGCCTTATTGTGTAGAGACGCGACGGTGCAATCATGAGGTCAAGAGGACGCAGAGGTCCTAGCGCGAACGAGAGGTCACGACACGCAGGGTACGCTCTGCTGCTGCAATGGGTGTGTTAAAAGACGCAAGCGCGTGCCAAGGGTGTTGAAATTGCGGGCTGGTCATTGTTGCATAGTTGTAGAAGCCTACCATTTGATCCGCTCACATCCAATCTCAGTATCCACTATGCTTCCACTTTTCCGCTAAATTTTGAGAAAATCTTCGAAAATCTGGCTTTTGGGAGCTTTTGCTCTGGGTGAATTCGATTTTTCTCTCCAGATTGTAAGCATGAGTGCGAGATAACGTTGCGAAAGGAAGCTGTACAGCGATGACTGGGGCAAAACAAAATTTTGGCACGATATGACTCACTTTCCTCCCATTGAAAAAAACTCTAAAAATGTTACTTTTGAGCGGTTGTGGCAATACATTGATAAATTGAAAATTCACTTGAGAGAATTATAGGTATGAAACGCGTTTGTTTATGGGTGTGCCCTACCCGCTTGCTAGCGACCCGTAGGTCGCTAGTCTTATATATAAAGCTGAATGTCTGTTTGTATGTATGTGTCTGTCTGTCTGTACGTATGCTCCGAATAGAAAATTCCATTTCTGAACCGATCCGGACGCACGCATACACTTCGGGCCCCGGCGGGTGTCATAGGCTACTTTTCGTCATCGATCGATATCGATTTTATCGATTTTTATCGATTTTTTTGCGGAGTTTACCTACGGGGCTGGGAGTTGGTAGAGAGGGTAATCGAGCATGGGGATTCCGAATACAATATTAGTTTTCAGGAATACCGATTACTTTTATCGATTTTATCGATTTTTGCAAAGTTTGAGCTACGGGGCTGGGTGTTTGCACAGGGGGGTAATCGAGCATGGGGATTCCGAATACAATATTAGTTTTCAGGAATATTGATTACTTTCATCGATTTTATCGATTTTTGCAAAGTTTGAGCTACGGGGCTGGGATCTTGCACATGGGGTAATTGTGCTGAGGCCGGATTCGACCCCCGGCCTCAGCACAATTACCCCAGTGCCAGATCCATGTGCCAGAACTCAGCACTCAAATGATCGATTTGCGCGCCAAAGTTGCCCATTTAAGGCGCCGGTGAAGGGGCTATGGACAGCCATCGACGTTCAGCTACGACTCGGATCTACCACATTCTATTGTATGTCATCTCTTCACTTTGTCGTACTTTATCACGTTAGTCGCCTCTGTTTGGTTTTTTGCCTCATTTATTCGATACTCCGGCTCAAGGAGTTTTGACATATCCTCTTAATGTTAAATGTTGCAAGTTTCCTGCCCTGGAGCTGTTATGTTATTTGAATTTTAATGTTGTTCGTTCCGGTTCCTAAGTTAGATCAATCCTATTGCCTATACGATACGGTTGCTTATTATCGATACTCATACTTATGAAGTTCTACGATTTTCAGGTTATTCACTCAATACTGGAATGTTGTTGTAATTTAGTTCGTATTTGGTTTTGTTCGTATTTGTTCTGTTGATCGTATTTCAATAAATAGGGTTTAATTACCCAAGTTTGAGGTGTCGGTGTGGATTGATGTGATTCTGCGGTTGCCCCGCGAGTACTTCGGTCAATTCTGTTATTCTCTGTTACTATTCCGATCGTTCAGTATACCGCGTGGCAGTGCTCTAGCTCGAACCGATTGGTACGAAAAGATCAACGAAGACCGTTTTTACTACGAAGCACGAACCAGTCGAGAAGGTGGGAAATTTTAACCAAGATCCTTTCCCCCTTTTTTCACTTCCTTTTCGGTCATTTTTTTGATAAATTTTGGAGCTGGGCCCCCCTTTGCCCTTCCCGGGGGACCACTACAAAATTTTTCTCGTGCATCGGCCACTTACGAAGATCAGGCCGAACGAATTTGCGAAATCGATTAGAGTCAACGAAGACGTCAAGGATCCGTAAACGAAGTCAGGATGGGGCCATCGCTAAAGCCGCACCAAACAAGGATCACGAAGTTGGGGAACACACTGGAGGAGCTGATAGAAAGCTCCCAACATATGGTGGCTTTCGAAGTCCCAATTATGGAGAACGAAGAAGAATCAATGGATATCCTACGAACTAGGATAAAATCAATACAGCACCGCCACACCAACATCATCACAACCAAAGCAGCACTAGAGTCAGCGGTCTCTAGTTATCAGGAAGCCTTCAACTCGTTGGACAACAACTCCCAGCAAGAAGAGAGAACATCCCAAGAGACGTACGTTGACCGCACTTGGGATTTAACAGCGACGGCACTCTCCCTTCTTAACAAACTGGACGAAAAGGAGACAGAAGTTTCCTCCAGACTGGATAATTTCGCTCAAGCGGCAAGAAGAAGAGAGAGACAACTCGACGTCAACACACCTCAGGCATCCAACGAGTCGTCAAGATGGACAACGCCGCCACCGTCCACTCAGCTGCAATCAATGCTGCCCAGGCTACAACTTCCCAAGTTTAGCGGAAGACGCGAGGAATGGGGGTCCTTTTGGGCCATATTCCAAGTCACCGTGGACGAACAGCCAATCCCCACGATGATCAAGTTCAACTATCTTCTCCAATCACTCGCAGGAGAGGCTAAGCAAACGGCAGCGCAGTTTCAAGTGGTAGAAGCAAGCTATCTACTAGTCATCGAAGCACTCAAAAAGAAGTATGGCGAAGACGCATCCATCATCGAAGACCTATTGATGCAGCTCGAAACCACCAAGGCGGAGGGAATCCTGGCAGCTGCTGGAGAAC